TTGCCGTGAGACTGGGCTGGGAAGACATCTCCGAAATCATCGAAGCTTTTTTGCAAAGAGGCTGTATCTTGACAAACCGACCAGACATCTGAAGATTAAACCGCTACATTCTCGGCTGAAAAATATTAAAACGGTATTTGGTGACAAACAGGGTTTTTCAAGGTTCAGTTCTCTAGGTTTCCACATGCCAGTTGTTGGTGAGCAGAAACGCCTTCTAAAAGTAATGGCCACCAGGCCAAAGCAATGGTTTTGATTCGATCAGCGTTAACCCCGCCCCCTGGGTTTGATGGGTGAGGTTGACAGATAAAATAAATTCATGGTGAGACCTGAAGGAGTCAAGTGTGCCAAAATGAATTAATTAAATACACCATTAAGTAATTATTCAAATGTGTCAATAATTAATTAAAATGTGAAATAAATAAGTAATTAATTAAATGTGCCAAAAATATTTATTTCATTAATTATTTCCCATTTTAATAAATTATTTCCAATTTTAATTAATTATTTAATGGTATATTTAATTAATTCATCATGTCAGTCCTGGCATTCCATACTTCTGACCCCACCCCTTCAGTGTGAATCAGAGAGTCAACAGACAATCTTTGTGCAGTCCGTAAGAGACAGCAAACTTGTGACGAAGGAGGAAAATTCGAGGACTTGAAAGACTTGAACACAGAATCATTTTTAATGACACAAAAACTTAGTGTCATTATATAAGACAGGGCTGATTTTTCTACAGTAACTTGTAAGCACATACAGGGCACTCTTTTATAAAAGTTTATAATATAAAATATAAAATAAATAAGAACATAGAAAAAATCTGTAAAATATTACGACGTAATCGGGCTCCAAAGGAGGAGCAGCTCCGGAATTTGGACACAGTCCAGGTCTGTAAAAACGCTTTGGTTTCCCCTGGTTCAGCTCCATCGGGTAATCCGACGAGCCTCAATTTGGATCTCCAGCTTCTGTTTTCAAGGTCGTCCACTTTCAGAAGGAGTTCCTGACAGTTTAGTTGACTAACAAGTGGCCTCCCAACTTGTTAGTGAGGAGACGTCGTCCTCAACTTTACTAATACGAGATTCTGCTGAGGTGAGGCTCTCGGAAAACACTCATTACATCTTTTATTTCTTGATTTAATGTTATAACTTCTCGCAGGTAAGTTGTAAAATGCATTGTGAGCGACTGAATTTCATCCAGAACATTAGCCTCGGTCGGCTGATCGCTAGCGGTATCTTACTCCATCTTCTCGGTTTCTGGGTCGTTGATAGTTCGTCGTCGAGTCCATCTTTTCCGGTTGTTTTCAGTTTAGATCGGCATCCTAAATACAGCTCTATGGTTTATTAATGACAACAAAGAAACACAGCTGTTGTTTTATACGATGTAAATGGTCTGATAGATGATAACGTTAGTATATTTTTAATAAGAAGGATGATTTTATTTATCTGATTGACTGAAGCGAGAACACCGCATTTATATGAAAAAAGAAAGTTAGTCAATTTGTCAATTTATTCTGTGCACCAACAAACTGATACTGAAGTAATAATCAAATATTGTGACTTTACATGAAAACTTTCCTCTATTTTACAGATAGAAAATAAGGGCAAGGGCAGTGAAGAGATGTCATCCATAAGCTATATTATGGCAAATTAACAGTTTTTAATGTTGGCTCAACAATAGAAACATTTCTGCCTGGATTTTATTGTTTGATTGCATTTTATTACAAGTCCATGTCTTTTCTACCCTAGCACAAAAGTGTGTTTGCAAATTAAACTCTGATCTGTGTTTTCATGTTGGCACGTCCATAGTTTTTGCAGTAAAAGTTGCCTGACTCAACCTGTTCTCTGTTTGTTTTAGCAGTGTAAAATTCAAACCAACTTCCAGATAATCCAGACTGTTGTACAACACTGAATAATATTCAGCAAATCTAAGGAGGACTTCCTGCTGGAAAACATGTCCAGCTCTGGTGGGAATGTGGTGTTGTGTTATTCTTGTTATCAAACGTTAGTATGTGTAAAGAGGAACTGGAAGTTTGGTCATGGCCCAAAGTGAACTGTTTAACACAATGAAGCAACATGTGGTTTGTTGCAACAAAAAACATCCTGACATCTCACCTCTGTTTTCGAGATTGTGAAAACGAATTGCAAAAATATTTTTATTGTTTTTGTTTTTAATAAATAATTACAATCCACAGTAAACCTGAAAACAATGAATAAGTGTTGGTAATGTTTTAGAGCTAATTACTCATATTACAGGGACACCATAATATCTTCTGACATATCAGTCTACACATAATTTAACAGTCTGGCTGAACGTCTGTAGAAGTATACAGTATTTTAGCCTCATTTATTTATTTATGTTGCCTGAAGGGTGTAAGTTGAAAATTTTGTAATCTAAAAAAAGACCATAGAGAATAATTTGTGATGAGCCACAGGTAAGTTTCTGTTTTCCTGCGATCACTTATCTGTAACTCAGTTTTCTTCATTTGTTACCACGGTGGCCTGAAACTATCAGCTGGTGTCAGCTTGGCCCCTCCCCAAAACCCTCAATGTCTATATGCAATTTAAAATTGAGAATTGGGCACCAGCACCAGAGGTGAGGCTGAGCGAACAGACCTCCCCTCTGGACACCATTCAGTGTATGTGTCATGAGAATGTAAGTACATTGTGGAATAAAACTGAGAAACATGTATCCAGGAGGGTGCAGAGGAGGAATGCCTCCCCTGCACCTCGGTGACTCACCTGTACCTCAAGCCCCTGCATGTGTGGTGGTGTGAAGGAACAGGAGGAAGGAAGCAAATTAGTAATGGTGAGGAAAGCTGGAGGACCACCCTGGAGCCAGCTGACTCCTGCTGACCCCAATAGGTACCTGAGTTACCCAAAATCCACCAATGGCACCACAGAGCCCCACCAAGCAGCCCACCAACCCCACCGCAGAGGAAAAACTACACCCACTCCAACATTCAGTAAACTCACAGACTATATAAGACAATAGACACTAAGGTTGAGTCCATCCTCCACCTCTGGCAGATCCCCCCACCTGCAGAGCCAACTCCTCAAAAGCAGAGACCACTCTGTAAAAATATGGTAAAAACTTCCCAGGCAGTTAAAGAGGCCCAAAGTTAGACCAATGCAATGACACATAATCTGATGAGTTTTTGTCTTATTAGATAAGAGTTTGTAAGGTTTGTAAGGTTTGTAAACTCTGTTAATTCAAACTCTGCTGATCATTTAGTTATTTTCTGTCCCTGTATGAATATCAATGTAACTGACTGTCTTTCACATT